TTTCCTTCCTTCTTTCCTTTCCTTCCTTCCTTCTTTCCTTTCCTTCCTTCCTTCCTTCTTTCCTTCCTTCCTTCCCTTCCTTTCCTTCCTTCCTTCTTTCCTTCTTTCCTTCCTTCCCTTCCTTCCTTTCCTTCCTTCTTTCCTTCCTTCCTTTTTCCCTTTCTTCCTTCCCTCTTTCTTTCTTCCTCATTTCCTTCTTCCCTTCTTTCTTTCTTTTCAGTTATTCAGTATTATAAATACTAATCCTGTATTTGATAAATACGTTGAAAATAGTTTCCCAGACTGTCTTTCAAATTTTTCAAGATTTTTTTAAAACCAGAGTTTACACTAACACGTGCAATTCAGCCTCTGTCAATTTCCCCATGTGGTGATGGAGACATAGTAACATCTCCACCAAGAATCCGTTAAGCTTCAAAAGAGAGAAAGACTGTAAAGTGATGAGCATAACTGGTGCTAAATGATAGCTCTTTCTTCTTTCTTTCTTCTGATTATTAGAAGTCCTGGATATTTCTTGTTACATTTATTTCTAGGCATTTTATATTTTTCTTGCTCTGATAAACTGGTAGCAGCTTTGGAAATATTTCAGTAATGGGAGTGTCTGGAATGGAGGGAAAATGTAATTTTACTGTCACGCCATGATTTCATATAACTTTGGAAATATTAAAAGAGTTAAATGGTCATTTCCAGATGCCTTTCGTATTGCGTGAACAGTTTGCCACATGCTGTTGCTTCTGCTTTATATCAGCTTATTTTCACTAATCAAACAAGAATTTATTACATAACCAACTTCCACATATTACTAAATCAGGGAACATTTATCAACCACATTAGAGGAAGTCGTCTGATAAACTGTGTCTGATTCTAGGCATGTAAAGTGAGGAAGATGAGAACCACGGTAACATCTTGCAGTTGTTCCAAATCACCAAATGTATTTTGATCTCAGCTTTTTCCACTGCCTGTCATCTGATTAATCGAAAGATTGTAACCAGATTATGTAATTTTAAATCCTCAGTAGATGCTTTTAGCGATGACGATAACACAACATTCCTACAAATAAATAAAAGATAGGACAATTCCCTTGGCCAACCAACGTCCTCTGACTTAAGGAAATTTAGTGGTTCTAAGAGAGTCAGCTTGTTTCCATTAAAGAGACAAGTTTAAATCATTAGTGAATATTGTAAGTATAGGTATGTCATAGGGAGCATTGATAATATGTAGTTTTGAGGTCATGTATATACATCATCAATTATAATAGCAAAATAAAGTGGAGAACTAGACCTTTTTTGGAAATCCCACCTTCTCCCTCTCTTTGTTTCCAATACTTGGTCCCATCGTCACTTCCTGCTCGTATATCAGCTTTCAGAAACACAATGACACCTGGATCTGTTGCCTCTCTCTATTGAACCATCATAACTCCTTTGCTCATTTTTGCAGAGTATCGTCCAGGGCAAATAGCCATTTAACTTCTTCTGTCTTTCAGGAACTTCTGGGACATGCTTGGAAGAATTACACTGCCATTCTTTTTACCCATGCAGAAAAAATAGAAGAGGCTGGATTCAATGAAGATACATATTTACATGAAGCCCCTGATACACTGTTAACCCTATTAAATTCTATTCAGCACAAATATGTTTTCCAGTATAAAAAAGGAAAATCACTGAGTGAACAAAGAATGAAAATCTTAGAAAGAATCATGGAATTTATAAAAGAGAATTGTTACCAAGTTCTTACCTTTAAATAAAACTTAGGTAAAAGGAAAAGAGCATTTGCTATTGGAGTCGGAAACCTGGTTTCGAAAACTGCCTTTGTGAGCACGGACGTGTACGACAAAAATTTAAAGGTCACTGGTGAGCGTGTGCGTTGGTATAACCACTTTGGAAAACTGGAAGATAAAAACAACAGCAAGGATTCAAGATTTCTAACAGACATCCCGTAACATAGCGATTGCACTCCTAGGAGTATGTACCCAACATAAATGTGTACATTTGTGCACCGAGGCAGGTATGTGCAAGAATGTTCATAGTGGTACTATTCAGAATAGCTAAACGCTGGAAACTATCCAAATGTCCATTAATAGTAGAATGCTATGCTATGTTCCCAAAGTAGGATAGTGTGTAGTAATGAGAATGAGCAAACTCAACTACATTTAACAGCACCAGTGAATCGCACAAACATAAAGCTGACAAATAAGCCAGACATACAGACTCCATGCTCTATGATTCCACATGTATGAAGTCCAAAACCAGCCAAACTAATACAATCTACACTACCCTGATGATAGGAGCGCAGTAAGTCAGGAGAGCGGTGACACTTGAGGAGGTCACAGTGAGTCAAAGGATGCACTTGGAGAGGCTTCTGAGATTCTGTTTTTCAGTTTCCTGGTTTGGAGGCTGGTTTCACAGGGTGTGTTGACTTTGTGAGAAATGCAACGTCAAATGCTTGTGATTTATGAACTGTTTAGTATACATGTTATATTTAAATAAAAGTTTAAAATGAATATTATCCAGTTTTTAAGCACCAAAGGAGGCAAGAAAATCTTCATGTTTCTCTGCTGCATCCCTTTTAATAAAAGGATTTGTTCTATAAAATTTGGATTCAGTCAAAAGGCTGCATTTAAGGACCTAGAAGGCCACAGGTCCCCCACCCCGGTTTCGGTCTTTTTTAAAGCTCTATCTATCTATACTCTGCATTTTTTTCCTAGAATTTGCTTAGATTTTCTTTTGTATTAATTTTCAGACATAAGGCTGGGCGTGGTGGCTCACGCCTGTAATCCTAGCACTCTGGGAGGCCGAGGCGGGATCGCTCGAGGTCAGGAGTTCGAGACCAGCCTGAGCAAGAGCGAGACCCCATCTCTACCAAAAAATAGAAAGAAATGATCTGGACAACTGAAAATACATAGAAAACATTAGCGGAGCATGGTGGCAAGTGTCTGTAGTCCCAGCTACTCGGGAGGCTGAGGCAGGAGGATCGCTTGAGCCCAGGAGTTTGAGGTTGCTGTGAGCTAGGCTGATGCCACGGCAC